TTATTACAGGGTGCGCATTAGTACGAGGCGTGCGGGTGGTGGGCCCATGATTATCGAGTGAAAAAATCGCTAGGGAAAAAATTGCCTAAGGTGAAATCGCCTAGGTGAAAAATCGCCTAGGGGGAACCTCGCTCTATACCCTGTTAGAATATGAAAATGAGTGATCGAGAATCAAGCAGTACAAGGATGGATATAAGAAACCATAACTGAACCTAGGGCAAAGTGTAACACAACTAGACTAACACACATAAACTATAACAAATATAGTTTGACAGGCTGGAGGGCAGGGCAGCGCACGGGCTGCAGGGCAGGGCGGCGTGCGTGCTGTAGGGCAGGACGGCACGCGGGCTGTAGGGCAGGGCGGTGCGTTGGCTGCAGGGCAGGGCGGCGCGCGGGCTGCAGGGCAGGGCGGCGCGCGGGCTGCAGGGCAGGGCGGCGCGCGGGCTGTTGGGCAGGGCGGCGCGCGGGCTGCAGGGCAGGGCGGCGCGCGGGCTGCAGGGCAGGACGGCGCGCGGGCTGCAGGGCAGGACGGCGCGCGGGCTGCAGGGCAGGACGGCGCGGGCTGCAATGCAGGGCAGTGCGCGGGCTGCAGGGCAGGGCAGTGCGCAGGGTGCAGGGCAGAGTGACGCGCGGGCTGCGGGGCAGGGCAGCATACGGGCTGGTCGCGGGCACCTGCGCGCGCGGGTAGCGCCTAGGGCAGTGCGCAAGCCAGGGCAGGGCAGCGTGCAGGACTCTATGAGGGCATGGCAGTTACGATCGGGCAGGGCAGGGTAGGAAAAAACGGGCAGTTCGTACAGTTGGTGGGCTCTAACGAAGCGGTCCTACGGAGGGACCTGCTCTGAATACCATGTTAGGAGTAGCAGGCAAGAACGACTGACCAGGATGCAAGTATGAGTACCCCTTAGAGTATGTCCTACTACAGCCTAGAGACATACAAATGCAATTTAACACTCTCTTGTTCTAGCATGGTTCATGCCCAAGTTGACTCCTAAGATTCCTTGGTTTTAGGAGGAGGTTCTAAGACTACTATAGAAGCAGTGGCGGCAGCAGGGCAGCTCTGGCGGCGGCCAGGCAGGGTAGGGCAGCGCTGAGCAGCGCGTGCAAGCAGGGTAGAAGTGGCAGCGGCCAGTAGCAGCAATGGCAGTGGCCGGCAGCAGTGGCGGCAGCAGGGCAGCGCTGGCGGCAGCCAGTCAGGGTAGGGCAGCGCTAAGCATCGCGTGCAAGCAGGGCAGCAGTGGCAGCGGCCAGTAGTAGCAGTGGCAGTGGCCGGCAGCAGTGGCAGCAGCAGGGCAGCGCTGGCGGCGGCCAGGCAGGGTAGGGCAGCGCTGAGCAGCGCGTACAAGCAGGGCAGCAGTGGCAGCGGCCAGTAGCAGCAGCGGCAGTGGTCAGGGCACGCACAAGGCATTGCGCGGGCAGCTCGCGGGTCGCCGGCGGAGCGCAGGGCAGGCGCTCGCGGGCGGCGCAGGGCTGACACGTGGGGCAGGGCTGTACGGGCTGCGCGCGGGCCTGTACAGGCTGCGTGCGGGCCTAGAGCGGGTTGTACGGGCTGCGCGCAGGCGGCGCGCTGGCTGTACGGGCTGCTTGAGAGAGGCGCGGGGCAGGGCAAGGCAGGGCAGCGCGAAAGCGCTCGGCAGGGCAGGGCAGCAGGGCGATAGCATGCTGGGCAGGGCAGAAACGTCGGGCAGGGCAGGGCAAAAACGAACGCCGGGCAGGAAAGGAACTAATTTGGTGGGCCCTTGATAAAAAGAAAACGGTCCTAGAACGAGACCTACTATGATACCATCTTAGAACTAGGAATGACTAAATTAGGTCAAAAGGGGGGTACAAGACAAGTGTCGAGAGAAATGTTGTACCCCTAAGGGGCAAGTCACTACAGGCTAAACTAACATATGCAATATAACTTTGACATCAGATTCGTTTTAGGGTACCCTGAGCACCTAGGGTCCCTTGGAGAAGTAGCACTGATCTTCAGTGTCGCCTGTATAGAAACACTGTTTTTTCAGGGTACCTTACTTATGTATTAGATAATGTACCCCTGCCTAAGTTGGCCATGTCAGAATGTCGATATTTGTCTAGCCTGCAGTGGGGTACTCTATAGCGAGTACAAACCAATTAGGGTTTCCTATATGTATCTCAACTCCTGCTAGTGAAAACCTCTCTTTCCTGTTTCTCGTTTTTGCCTGCTGTTTCGACATGCTATCAGAGCAGGTCGACCCTCCTGGGTCGATCCTGTGGATGGGCCCGCCACCTAATTCTTCCGCTGCTGTCCTGCCTAACGCGCGCCCCGGGCGCGCGACGTGTTCTGCTTGCCGCGCGCTCGGGTGCACGGCGTATTTTTCATCCCGCCGCGCGCTCGGGGCGCGCGGCGATTTTCTGCCCGCCGTACGCCCCGAGGCGCGCGGCGGTTTTCTGCCCCGTCAATCCGCGCGTCGCCCCCCGTCGCCCGTCGCAGCGCCCCCGGGGACCCGCGCGTCGCCCCCCGTCGCCCGTAGCGGCCCGCACGACCTGCGCCAGGCCCGCGCGCGGCCCGTACAGCCCGCGCGCGGCCCGTACGGCCTGCGCCAGGCCCGCGCGCGGCCCGTACGGCCTGAGCCAGGCCCGCGCGCGGCTCGTACGGGCTGCGCCAGGCCCGCGCGCGGCCCGTACGGGCTGCGCCAGGCCCGTGAGCGGCCCGTACCGTCTGCCCCAGTGCCGCACGCCGTCCCTCGAGCTTCTGACCGCACTCCTGTGTTAGGGTTTGGGGGTGGAGAGTATGGGGGTGCCGTGTGTGTGAGCCGTCCCCTGCTCCTCCTCCTCCTCCGTCTCCCACTGCTGCAGCTGCCGCTGAGGGAGGTGGATGTGTTGGAGCCGTCGGAGTGGTACGAGAGGGGTGGCGTGTGAGCGGTGCTAGTGGTTCAGCAGGGGGTGTGTGAAAGGGGTGTGGGACAGTTGGGGGAGGTTGACCGGAGGTAGCCGACCCGCAGCGCCTGAAGTCCAGAGAGCCACGACCCCCTGTGGCCGTGTAGTCTGGGGCTCTGCGCCCGGTAGCCACAGTGTGAGCATTCCTGGTAGTCCAGAGAGCCACGACCCCCTATGGCCGTGTAGTCCGGGGCTCTGCGCCCGGTAGCCACAGTGTGAGCACTCCTGTGAGCACAGTGAGCCAGCCGCGCCTGTCGCCGTGTAGCCCGGGTTTAGCCTGGTAGCGTGAGTGCTGTGCACTCCTGTTGCCCATGTGTCTGCAGCTTCAGCCGTCGCCTCTCATCTTCTCGCCCTCCACAGTTTCTCCTCCTCCTCACTTGCCCTCTGTGATAGCCTCTAGCTTTGCTTATCCTTGTGAACTATTGCACTGCCTGCTTGTTGTGTTGATTGTACCCCACTTTGACTATGGGGGTGTGTCAGAATGTCGATGTTTGTCTAGCCTGCAGTGGGGTACTCTATAGCGAGTACAACCCAATTAGGGTTTCCTATATGTATCTCAACTGCTGCTAGTGAAAACCTCTCTTTCCTGTTTCTCGTTCTTGTTTTCGACAGGCCAAGCGGACCGCACCAGCACGCCCTTGCGCGGTGAATCGGACACCACGAACCACTAGGTTTGTGCGCAGCGAGGCCAAAAATAACAAGTGTTGGCAGAAGTCAGAGACAACTTTGCAACACCTGGGACAGCCAATCAGATAGCGTCGTTGTGCAAACAACAGCTGTCCAAACAACGCCCAAAATCAGCTAGTTCAACTAAATCTGGTCGAGCTGCAGGGTGACGGTCGTCGTGAATGATGACGGCGCGCCAAACATGTCGAAAACGAGAATCACTGAGTTTTCGTTTCGAGGTCGACCCCGATAAAACACTGATTCGTCAGTGACCTAAAACACAGAACACTGAAAAATCAGGGTTTGAACCAGGCCTAATTTTATCAGTGTAAATCACCCTGATACACTGATTATCAGGGTGGTTTTTGTTAGTCACACTGATGCCTTAGGGCTTTTTTTTTTTGGAGCTTGGATTTTCCTTATGTGCCAGGGTTTACGTTTAAGGCACACTGATGCCCAGGGTACCGTTCTTCTTAGCGAGTTTTACCCTGAAGCGAGTACCAGAACCCCACCCCCCCTCCCCCCCCCCCCCCCCTTTTCCTGTAACCCGGGATTCCCGTTGGCCAACTATCGAAACCAGAATCTGCGCCTCGACAATACACGTGTTGGCACGAAGTGGGTCGTCATTGGACAGAAATCAATTGCACCTGCTGTGCCCTTGGAAAGGAAGGGGAAAGAGAAGGTGCCCGAGCCACAGGACGATAGTGACTAGGAGGAACACCCTTGTGCCTTGTCCGATGATGACTAAGATGTTTATTGTGTGCTTTTAGTGTAACAACAATCGAGCATGGTTTTTTAAAAACATACACTGATGCCTCCAGGTAACATTTTCAAACCTACCCTTTATTCTGATGCAAAAGTTTTCTTCGAAGGGGTCACACTGATACCGTAATCAGGAATTTGCATAGGTGCAGCACTGAGAGCGTATTCCTATCCTCGTATCAAGAAAACCTCATATCAAGATTGTAATTTTTGCCTGGTAAAACTAGCGAGAGGTTTTGGGTTTAGGGGAATTTTCAGTGGGAGGTTGATATGAGGTTCTCTTGATATGAGGATAGGAATACGCTCTGAGGGTTGCTCAAAAAAAAAAAATAGCCCTCGTTTGAACCCAGTGAACCCAGTCGCAACTTGAACCTGAAGATGGGTCTATGATCGAAACCATTTTCGTGCAACCGATGTGCAGGTCTACGAGTGCGACTCCTTGTACAAGCGGCACATTTTGTTTTGGCGGGAGCCAATCCGTAACCTTTATCCGTTTGAAAGGGATGTTTGAAACAAAGTTCTGTTCTCGCTCGCTTCTACCCTTTTGGGGTACGTGTGCTTTACATGTGCTACATGTGCTTATTACAGGTCACATATATTTTTGGGGTTGTGCTTATAATTGAGGACCGGATATAACTTCAAAGAGAATAAAACCACGAAGAGTGTATCACGATTCACGAGGTTTCGTAACCATCAAAAGCAACGTAGGAAGCGCCTTTGCCAGCTGCCTCCAAGAGATCCATGCGTCCTCCGGCCATTCTCTCTGCCTCTATGCCCCTCTCTCCTGTGCACAACAGTGCAAAGAGTCCGGAGAGAGTGGAGAACTATTGTGAAGGGATTGTTTGCTTGAACGGAAAAGAATTGAAAAAATAACGTTGGAAAAGTGCAAGGCAGGGGCTTTCCATTGATATGAAATATAGAGTGTGAAGGGAAAAAAAAGTGGCTAGTGAAACAGAAGGGGGGCAACATGAAGAGCCATGGGAGAGGTATCAAGAGAGAAAGGAAGGAGGTTGGCCATACCTGTGCGGACTCGAATGACCTCAGCCACTGGGGACACTGAGAGGGGGAGATGCACAGGAGATGAATGGGTAAGGAACTTTATCTAAGGTCACACTAACATGCCTACGTTCTGCTAAGCAATGTGAATCAACGTATGTATATTACCAAATTAAAGAAAGAAAAAAAAAGGAACAAAACAGACACAAACACACAAGCCCGTAAAAATTAGTACACAACAGGGCAAGTGTTTGCTAATGCTATCACAGTGAGTGCACGTGAACGTAAACGACTGGTCCAATCAGGGTGAAACTTGAAGGTCCTATGTGATGGGGAGAAATGTGATGGTGCACAAAAGAAGTGGAGAGAAACGGTGCAGAGTAATGGCATGAGCAAGGGTAGCTTGGTGGTGCTGGTAGGGCACACAGCAAGGGAAGTCCGAAGATGCAGCGGGCCTGCAGAGGTTCGCTCACCAAAGATCTTGCCGTCGCCGATCTCCCCCGTGCGCGCCTCGTCAATGATGATGGCGATCACCGCCTCCACCTGCTCGCCCCCACGGCGCATGGGCGGCACGGAAGCAGGAAACGAGAGGGAGGATTGTGAGGGACAGCCGCACTAATCATCCCGGTCGCACAGCACACCAACCTGGTCGCACACCACACCAACCTGGTCGCACACACCACCCGCCTGGTCGCACACCACACCAACCTGGTCGCACACACCACCCGCCTGGTCGCACACCACACCAACCTGGTCGCACACACCACCCGCCTGGTCGCACACCACACCCACCTGGTCGTACACACCACCCGCCTGGTCGCACACCACACCCACCTGGTCGTACACGACGACCACCTCCAGCTTCGACTTGAGCACCAACGCGTCGTCTGCAAACTCAGAGCCTGCCACATGGTGGGGCACGCACGGGGAGGGCGGGGAGAAAGGGGAGGGTGGTGGGATGAGTGGAGGCGTAGGGAAGGAAGAGGGGGGCGTTGAGTGAGTGAAGTGAGAGTGAGAGTGGAGGGGGGCGAGAGAATATGGAAAAGCGCCCCTGTGGAAAGCATGCGGAGCCAGGCCAGGCCAGGCCGCCCCGACGCGGATGATGGCGGACAGAGGAGGTGCTCCAGCGGGCATCAGGGGTCTTGCCATTTTAAGGGTGTGCTCTCCCCTCCTTATTCACCCTCTCCCCGACCCTCTCGCCCTTTCGTCCCCTCGCTCCCCAACGTCCCAACCCCCATCCCTCTCGACCCTTGGAACCCTGACGACCTGCCAGCCGGACCTGCTGGTCCACTCCACGCAAAGCCATCTGTTACCTCTCCCCTGCCGTCCCCCATCGCATCCACATGGGCACCTCTCCCTCCCGTGGCGGAGCCATCTGACCTGCGTGCCTCTCTCTGCTCGTGCCCTGCGTGCCGAAGCCCCTCACATCCGAGACCGTCAGACCCCTGATGCCCGCTGTGAACAGCGCCTGCACACAAGAACAAGCAACGGGGAGGTGCGCAGGTGATGGCTTGGAGTGGATTTGAATTGAGTGATGCCCACGGCCCTCACGAGTGGTGCAGTCGCTGCGCAATGCCTGTGGGAGGAGGGCCGCGAGGGAGGAACACATACGAGAAAAAAACCGCAGATGAAAAAAGGCTAGATTTATCGCGGGGCTTATTGCAGCCGCGAGTACAACGAGGGTGAGTTCGACGGTTGAAGTGAGGAACGCGATCGTCAGCGGCGTGTGATTGGGCGCTAGTTGTGAGTCGACTCAGTTGAGAACGTTGCTGGTGGGTGGAAGAGACGACAAGGAGCAGCAATGCGCGGTGAGCTGTTAGGCACATGGTTCACCATCGCGTGAGCTGTTAGGCACATGGTTCACCATCGCGTGAGCTGTTAGGCACATGGTTCACCATCGCGTGAGCTGTTAGGCACATGGTTCACCATCGCGTGAGCTGTTAGGCACATGGCTCACCATCGCGTGAGCTGTTAGGCACATGGTTCACCATCGCGTGAGCTGTTAGGCACATGGTTCACCATCGCGTGAGCTGTTAGGCACATGGCTCACCATCGCGTGAGCTGTTAGGCACATGGCTCACCATCGCGTGAGCTGTTAGGCACATGGTTCACCATCGCGTGAGCTGTTAGGCACATGGTTCACCATCGCGTGAGCTGTTAGGCACATGGCTCACCATCGCGTGAGCTGTTAGGCACATGGTTCACCATCGCGTGAGCTGTTAGGCACATGGCTCACCATCGCGTGAGCTGTTAGGCACATGGTTCACCATCGCGTGAGCTGTTAGGCACATGGCTCACCATCGCGTGAGCTGTTAGGCACATGGTTCACCATCGCGTGAGCTGTTAGGCACATGGCTCACCATCGCGTGCTGTATGCAACACGCCCGCGCTCTAGCAGCACACGCAACGGCACACCAGGCAAGGGTGTGCCTCGTAGCCGCGCCTTGCGACCTGACTGCATGCATACGGCACTGCGTGCGTACCTCGCAGACGTGCGTACCTCGCAGACGTGCGTACCTCGCAGACGTGCGTACCTCGCAGACGTGCGTACCTCGCAGACGTGCGTACCTCGCAGACGTGCGTACCTCGCAGACGTGCGTACCTCGCAGACGTGCGTACCTCGCAGACGTGCGAGAGGCGCCAGGGGCGGATGACGGCCTCCACCTTGTAGAACTGCGCCGCCGGCTTGAACTCTGCGCGCCACGCCGTGGGAAGGGGCATGGGTGAGGGGGGAGAGGGGCGGGGGCAGGGACAGGGGGGCAGCCACTCGGTGGGGAGGGGGGTGAGGACAGGGACAGGCACTTGCGAGGGAACGACGCACATGCAACCCACGTGCAACCCACGTGCGACTCAAGTCGTGGGGGGTGAGGCCTGACCGCCGTTAAGCGGGAGACGGGTCAAAGTCGTGGAGCGCGAGGAGTGAGGGGAGAGGAGGGAGGGAAGCGGCAATGTGACACGCTAGAGAGCAACATGACTGCCGCGATCGCACTGGCCACAAGAATGCCGTGCCGCTCGGCCGCACCCGCCAGGCGACCGAGCCTGGTGGCAGTGGAAGCGCAAGATGGCGCGGCGCGCGAGTGGCCACGCTCTTCCAAACGCCGCTTGCTCGCCGGCGTGCCGAGCTGCTGCACGCTTGCGCGCGTTCGAACGGCACCACTTGATTGCCCTGCAACCCACGTGCGACTCGCACACTTAGACGCCTAAATGTCTCTACTGACGGTTGCCACTGCCGCGCTAACCGCATTGTGTACAGCGTTACTTGCGCTTACCGCGGGGTGCGCCCACAACATGCTGCAGATTTGCGGAATCGACCAAGCCGCAGGTTTCTCCGTCGCATCACAGCAATGCGCCGTCCGCTGACGCCATACCTTGCGAGATGTCCGCCGCGCCGTTGGGCGCACCGTTGCCACTCGCCCGCACACCCCGAGCCCCTCGCATCGGCGCAGCGCTCCGGGCGACATTAGCGGAAGCGACGGCGAGCCTCCGAGACTCAGGCACGAATGAGGAGCGCGATCCCCACCCCAGCACTGCTCCCTGTGGCGCGCGGACCGACAGGCTCACGCCGCTGCTTGCCCGGCCGGTAATGATATCCGTCGCCGCTACCGATGCCGCTGCTGCTGACGTGGTGGTGACGGCTGACGTCATTGTGAGGGCGCCTGGCATTGGCTGACGCAGAAATGGTAGTAGGAGGGGGGTCGTGGGTGTGCGACCTCGGGAGGGACGGGCGCCGCGAATGAAGGGTGTGTTGGAAGGAGTCTGTTGTGAGTGCTGTTTGGCGATTTTGTGCAGCGAAGTGAGATACACAACGATATGTGATCCGTACCTGCGCGGCTGCTGCGTAGCGTTTTGGTTCTTGTGTTGAAGCTTGAAAAAACTGAGGTGGCAGGGCAGGCGGAATGATTTGGAAGCGGGAGGCGAGACGGACATCATTGGTTCATTACAGACCAATCGAGTCATGGCATGTCACTGGCATCGTGGTGGATGCTGGCGTGGCAGTGGCTAAGTGGCCCAACAGGTACAGGGGACGCACACAAATTTGGAAAAGCAAAACCCATCTAAGAACAAATTCGTTTTTGTTCGTGAATTCCATAGAAGACATGGTTACAAAGTTCAGTCTTCACTTATCCAAATGAGAGGGTACATAGGTACGAGTACGAGGGACCCTAGCTAGGCAAGCCTCGAAGCTCGAGTTCGGGCCAATTGGGGTTGTCCGCTAATGGCGTGGAACATCTTGAATTTTCTCCAAACGAACCGTATTGTCCGAACGGTCAGATGCGGCCTATTTAATAAACGACACGTTCAAGTAGGTTGTTTGTAGTGCGTTTCAATGCGGTACCACTCGTTTGAAAAAAATCCCAGATGTTCCACACCCCAAGTCCGAAGGCCGCTCGAGCCAACTTTGGGAGTGGATGTCATCGGATCGAGCCTCGCCTTCCAAGTTGGAGTATAGACTAAATGTATTGCCATGCTATTTTATCGAGTCGACCGTGAAACGATACTTCTACTGATGTATCACGCGAATACTCACAAGTGTAAGGAAAAAAAAAAAAAAATTCCTTATCGGGGTTGACTGCTATGCGTACAACCCAAACACTTTCGGACTTCGCCATCTACGATTCCGATGCTGCCTCGCGTCGCCTTAAGTTTTCTCTTCGCCAAACCTGCAACCAACCTTGTAATCTCGAGGTTTCCTCCTAGCTAGGGTAGCGACTATATTATCACTGTCTTTTCATTGTATTATCAGTTCAATAAGTCACTGCTTTGATATTCGTTTTCCGCGCAACTCTGTTTTACAACCCATGACACTTGAAGTCAGAGCTACTTTCCTAGTTCACCCCGCCTTTCAAGGGTAGTTTAGTAGCACAGGTTGGCTGGTACAACGGACTGCAAGATGCTTGGCTGTAAGCTTTGTTAACTTGAACGTGCCCGACTCCGATAGTTCTTGCCTTTTCACTCGCCAGAAGGTCACAGAAACCCCTCTGTCTACTAGACGAAGCGCGCGACTCATGTTCGAGGAAACGCAAAAAAAAAACGATGCAGCAAATGGCAGATATGCAGAAGAACATGCAGGCGTTAACGACAGAGGTCGAGCAACTACGTGAAGAAAACGTCGGACTACCCATGGCGACAGGTGAAACACGTCAGGAGTTGCCTATCAAAGAAGGCGATACCACTAGGCCCCAAAATTCAAGGGTGTTTCACCCTTTGTACCCTTGCTATGGGCTGCTTTTCCATGATTTCCCTGATTTTGTACGTGTATTGCCAAACGACCCTGACCGTAAAAGTGTAGTTTTTGATTTTCACTTTGAGAATCAGGCCTTTCCGAGTTTCCACTGACTTGTCAGGACTTGTCAGGGTACTTTTTGAAATACACTAAAACTGACTTTCTTCGTGTCCTTTCTGTACAACAGGCCCCATGTGGCCACTCGGCCGAGAAGGTTACAAAACCGGCCCCAGTAGTTACTGTCGCGCTGTCAGCTCGACAAAACACACCACACAACAAAACCTCCGACTTGCTGCCAAGAAGCAGGCGGCCAATACGAGATAACGCTGGCAGCAACCCAAGTGACACACGGTTTAACCCTACAGCAGTCCCTGACACAACTGCAAGTGCAGAGGAGGCGGGACCCGAAAATGTGTGATGTGATGATGCCTGGTTAGTCATGGTTTATGTAGTTTAGCATGTAGGGAATGTATGTGCCTGTGGTAATTGGTTTTTGCATTTGCAATCAGGCTATTTTCAAAAATACCCTTACACGCAAAGGGTACTGGCCAAAACACACTGATTTTCCTTACCCTGACTGTCAGTCTAAGGAGCCTGGGGGACCTTGATATGGCACGGACCCCCAAAACCAGTTTTGGGCCCTGGATACCACCAGCCATGAAGTGAGTGGCATCGTAACAAGTGGCGAGCTCATATGCGGCAACGAGGAGAGCGATAGGCAGGCAGCGTCGGCGACAACAGCAATTGCAATTACTACAATCAAGATTAAACCTGTGAGCCCGCCCTCGTCCAACCCTACAGACAAGACGACTACGATCAAGGGGTGGCTGTTCGGCGTGGAGACCTTCTTTATTGCAGCACGAGTTGACGACGATGGCACAAGCGTTAAATACGCGGTTTCGCTTCTCTGAGAACCCGCCCTGGAGTGGTGGCGACATACCTTGGACACGAGGACATCGACAAGTGTGACACATGCTGCAGACGGGACCTCAAGTTCGGCTAATCAAGTGGCAACGTAAATATTCAGTGTGACCAAGATTCGCACGTGGAAGGAGTGGGGCGTAGCCTTGCGGGGTCGTTACGAGCATGTATCCGCCTCGGTTCAAGCTCGCATGAAGTTGCGTGCCTGGTCATAGCAGGCTTTTGTTTAGGACTACACGGCATCGTTTATGGCTCTCGCCGACCAAGTGGACGACATGGCAGAATTGGAGCTGTTGGATAAATACATCAATGGCCTCAAATACGAGATACAGTATGAGGTCCGTCGGACCCGCCCGACTATGTTGTTGGAAGCTGTACGGTTGAGTCTGCAGATGTGTTGATGCAGTGGGCGAGGGCAGATTCCCGGAAGGAAAACTGTTTTCGCGAACAAACCCAGCGGGCCAGGATCAACCGAGTCCATGCACCCGACCGCCCTTTTCCAGGGTTGTGTTATAAGTGTAGGAACCAGGTCACGTGTCTAGAGAGTGCCCCGAGAAAACGCTTGGGAAGAGTCAATAATTAATGGGTCCCTTACTGACTGGCCCAAACACCAACACTCCCACCGAGTCGTGGTTTCAATTCATGCAGTCGATCGCACTAGGCTGATTAACAGGGATAATCATGTGGATCACCCTGTGTTGGTCGTTGACATGATGCTCATAAATTTTAGAAATTATTTGTCGATGGCACGACTAGCCATACCCTCTTCAATCTGGCGACAGCAAAAAAATGAAAGTTGGAGCTGAACCGGTGCTTGCCCGAAATTGATGCTCGCCTCATGGATAGGACACCACTGCTGATTTTGGAAGAAACAGGGACGGTGGGGTTTGAGTGCTGAGCGTGGCGACAATTTCGACTTCAGCATAAAAGTTTCTCGCGACAACACTGGATGGCTGCAACGTACTGCTGGGGCGTGATGCTACGGTGGCATAACCCGACGATCGATTTGACGACAGGCTCGTAGAGCAGTCGCAAGCATGGAGGGAAAATTATGCTGCCCGCGTGGACTTCGGAGCACAAACAAGCCACATGCGTCAAAGCTATCACTATTACCTGCCACTACAACAAAGGAGCGCAGCTGTACGCCGTTCGATTGCGTGAGCTGGTAGCCAACACCGACGGAACTGACATCGAGAAGTTCTTCGCAACTGTCCCTGACGAGCTGGCGCAGTTGATCCGTCAGTACCCAGTGATATTTCCCGACGAACTGCCACGTGACTTACCTCCCGAACACCCCGAGGACCATAAAACACAGCTAGAACCTGGGGCGCAACCGACTGTTCGAACACAGAGGCGTCTGACTCAGCCCGAACTCGAGGAATTGCAAAGCCAGCTGGATGGCCTAATGCAAAAAGGGTTCATCTGACTCATCCCCCTTCGCAGCTGACTCATCCCCCTTCGAATCTCCAATCCTGTTCACGCAGAAAATGGGCGGCGGCCTTCACACCGACTACCGTGTGCTCACCAGTTACGATCAAGTCTCGCTATCCCATCCCACGCATCGACGACCTCCTCAACCAACATCGCGGCGCTCGCTACTTCTCGAAAATCGACTTACGTGGCGGTTACCACCAGATAAGGGTCTTCTCCGACGATTGTCACAAGACCGCTCTCCGAACCCGCTACGGAAGCTACGAGTTCACGGTGATGCCCTTCGGCCTCACAAACGCGCCTTTCACATTTCAACTGACCATGAACATGATCTTTCCAATCTCCTCGAGAAGTGTGTTATCGTCTAATTGGACGACATTTTGAATTTTAGCAGGACACGCGACCAACACCTCCGCGACCTCGACACAGTGTTTAAACAACCGGCTCATCGCCAAGGGTTCTAAGTGCGAGTTTTTGAAGCAGGAATTGGATTTTTTGGGGCACGTAATCTCCCGCGACGACATTAAAAACGACCCGGCGAAGACCAAGACCATCCAGGAGTGGAAGACCCCGACTAATGTCACGAAACTTACGAGTTTTCTGGGGTTTGTGAATTACGTCCGGCGGTTTATCCCAAATATGGAGGCGATAATTGACCCGCTGACCGACCTGCTGCACAAGGACATGAATTTTGTATGGGGGGAGGAGGCTGAGGCGGATTTTCAGGGGTTCAAGTAATTTCTGGTGTTCCCTCAGGTTCTACGCATCGCCGGCCCATCCAAGCCGTTCGAAGTCATCACTGACGCTTCAGATTTTGCCATCGTCGCTGTACTCCTCCAACGGTTTACAACCGATCGCATACGAGGCATGCAAGCTGCAGGCACCCGAGCGCAACTACCCGATACACGACAAGGAGTTGCTCGCCATCATCCACGCTTTCAAGCTTTAACGCTGCAATCTGAGAGGCGCTGACGTCACTGTTCGCACAGACCATAAATCACTATAGTATCTTCGTGCACAACCCAACGTCAACTCGCCACAAATCAGGTGGCTTGACTACATGGAGTCACATTTCACCTTCTGCATC